ACTTTTTTAGCCAAGTAGGACCGATAAAAAAAAAAAAAATTTTTTTTTACTTTTAATGATGCATTATAATATTTTATTATCATTATTACCATAGAAAAGCTGACAAAAATGTTAAGGCTACACTCTGTCTATTGGCTTCTTTGCCTGTCTTTAAGGCTCTCCTGGAGGATGGTTGGTCACCCTTAGTAGCCTATAAAACATGGCAACATTACAATCACAACAATACTATTTCTTTTTATAAAAGAATTCAATGAATCAGGGATCAAATGGCTGTAGGTAAGCTGCTTCAAAGCAAGGTAACGTTTACGTTTACGTCATTTAGCAGACGCTCTTATCCAGAGCGACTTACAAATTGGTGCATTCACCTTTTTTTTTATGGGGGGGGGGGGGTGTGGTAGGGAGGGGGGTAGAAGGATTACTTTTTCCAGGTATTCCTTAAAGAGGTGGGGTTTCAAGTGTCTCCGGAAGGTGGTCAGTGACTCCGCTGTCCTGGCGTCGTGGGGGAGCTTGTTCCACCATTGGGGTGCCAGAGCAGCGAATAGCTTTGACTGGGCTGAGCGGGAACTGTGCTTCCATAGAGGTAGGGGGGCTAGCAGGCCAGAGGTGGATGAACGTAGTGCCCTCGTTTGGGTGTAGGGTCTGATCAGAGCCTGAAGGTAAGGAGGTGCCGTTCCCCTCACAGCTCCGTAGGCAAGCACCATGGTTTTGTAGTAGATGCGAGCTTCAACTGGAAGCCAGTGGAGTGTGCGGAGGAGCAGGGTGACATGAGAGAACTTGGGAAGGTTGAACACCAGACGGGCTGCAGCGTTCTGGATAAGTTGTAGGGGTTTAATGGCACAGGCAGGGAGCCCAGCCAACAGCGAGTTGCAGTAATCCAGACGGAAGATGACAAGTGCCTGGATTAGGACCTGTGCCGCTTTCTGTGTAAGGTAGGGTCGTACTCTGTGAATGTTGTAGAGCATGAACCTGCAGGATCGGGTAACCACTTTGATGTTAGCGGAGAACGACAGGGTGTTGTCCAGGGTCACGCCAAGTTGTCAACCGTGATAGCGATATCATGGAGCGGGCAGTCCTTCCCCCGGGAGGAAGAGCAGCTCTGTCTTGCCGAGGTTCAGCTTGAGGTGGTGATCCGACATCCACACTGATATGTCTGCCAGACATGCAGAGATGCGATTCGCCACCTGTTTATCAGAAGGGGGAAAGGAGAAAATTAATTGTGTGTTGTCTGCGTAGCAATGATAGGAGAGACCATGTGAGGATATGACAGAGCCAAGTGACTTGGTGTATAGAGAGAATAGGAGAGGGCCTAGAACTAAGCCCTGGGGGACACCAGTGGCGAGAGCACGTGGTGCGGAGACAGATTCTCGCCACGCCACCTGGTAGGAGCGACCTGTCAGGTAGGACGCAATCCAAGAGTGAGCAGCGCCGGAGATGCCCAACTCGGAAAGGGTGGAGAGGAGGATCTGATGGTTCACAGTATCAAAGGCAGCAGATAGGTCTAGAAGGATAAGAGCAGAGGAGAGAGAGTTAGCTTTAGCAGTGCGGAGAGCCTCCGTGACACAGAGAAGAGCAGTCTCAGTTGAATTACCAGTCTTGAAACCTGACTGGTTTGGATCAAGAAGGTCATTCTGAGCGAGATAGCAGGAGAGTTGGCTAGAGACGGCACGCTCAAGAGTTTTGGAGAGAAAAGAAAGAAGGGATACTGGTCTGTAGTTGTTGACATCGGAGGGATCGAGTGTAGGTTTTTTGAGGAGGGGTGCAACTCTCGTTCTCTTGAAGACGGAAGGGACATGGCCAGCGGTCAAGGATGAGTTGATCAGCGAAGTGAGGTAAGGGAGAAGGTCTCCGGAAATGGTCTGGAGAAGAGAGGAGGGGATAGGGTCAAGCGGGCAGGTTGTTGGGCAGCCGGCCGCCAGTTTTTCATCTGGAGAGAGAGGGGAGAAAGAAGTCAAAGCATAGGGTAGGGCAGTGTGAGCAGGACCAGCGGTATCATTTGACTTAATAAATGAGGATCAGATGTCGTCAACCTTCTTTTCAAAATGGTTGACGAAGTCATCCACAGAGAGGGAGGAGGGAGGGGGAGGGAGGAGGATTCAGCAGGGAGGAGAAGGTGGCAAAGAGCTTCCTAGGGTTAGAGGCAGAGGCTTGAAATTTAGAGTGGTAGAAAGTGGCTTTAGCAGCGGAAACGGAGGAAGATAATGTAGAGAGGAGGGAGTGAAAAGATGACAGGTCCGCAGGGAGTCTAGTTTTCCTCAATTTCCGCTCGGCTGCCCGGAGCCCTCTTCTGTGAGCTCGCAATGAGTCGTCAAGCCACAGAGCAGGAGGGGAGGACCGAGCAGGCCGGGAGGATAGGGGACATAGAGAGTCAAAAGATGCAGAAAGGGAGGAGAGGAGGGTTGAGGAGGCAGAATCAGGAGATCGGAGGGAGAAGGATTTAGCAGAGGGAAGAGATGATAGGATGGAAGAGGAGAGAGTAGCGGGAGAGAGAGAGCGAAGGTTGCGACGGCACATTACCATCTGAGTAGGGGCAGAGTGAGTAGTGTTGGAGGAGAGCGAGAGAGAAAAGGATACAAAGTAGTGGTCGGAGACTTGGAGGGGAGTTGCAGTGAGATTAGTAAAAGAACAGCATCTAGTAAAGATGAGGTCAAGCGTATTGCCTGCCTTGTGAGTAGGGGGTGACGGTTAGAGGGTGAGGTCAAAAGTCACCCAGAACGTAGGGAGGTTAAAGTCACCCAGAACTGTGAGGGGTGAGCCATCCTCAGGAAAGGAACTTATCAAGGCGTCAAGCTCATTGATGAACTCTCCAAGGGAACCTGGAGGGCGATAAATGATAAGGATGTTAAGCTTGAATGGGCTAGTGACTGTGACAGCATGGAATTCAAATGAGGAGATAGAAAAAACAATTGAAAATATCGACTTGGGAGAGATGAGGATTCCTGTGCCACCGCCGCGCTGACCAGATGCTCTCGGGGTATGCGAGAACACATGATCAGACGAGGAGAGAGCAGTAGGAGTAGCAGTGTTTTCTGTGGTAATCCATGTTTCCGTCAGCGCCAAGAAGTCGAGGGACTGGAGGGTAGCATAGGCTGAGATGAGCTCTGCCTTGTTGGCCGCAGAACCTGCATCTGTCCCAACGGAGAGAAAGCGTCTCCAAACATTACAGCTAGGTCGTTCCAGCTATTGTTTAGTTAGCTATCCAGGTAGCAACAAGCTAGCTGCATTTCCAGTACAGTAGCTACTAACTACCTAACGTTAACGCTTCAGATAATGAGGTTAGAAAAACAGACATGTTTATATAGAACCTTGTAAGGGAAAAATATTCTGTGGGAATTAATATACAAACTGATACAGTAACAGCAGGTTATATAGGAGCAGAGCAGTGACTGTATGCTAGCAGGATAGTCCATATCTCCAATCATCTTAATAATTAAAAATAATAATTGGTCATTTAGCAGACGCTCTTATCCAGAGCGACTTACAGGAGCAATTAGGGTTAAGTGCCTTGCTCGAGGGCACATCGACAGATTTTTCACCTAGTGGGCTCGGGGATTAGAACCAGCGACCTTTCGGTTACTGGCACAACGCTCTTAACCACTAAGCTACCTGCCGCCTATCTTTGTTGATAGTGATGTTGTGTTACCATAATTTACCATGTACGGTAAAGCCTCAACCCGTAGCTACCTTTTACAATTCAAATGAGTGTTTTGTTTTGTGTGACTACAGCGCCAGAAATAAATCGCTAAATTAGAGAGACACATTCTAATTGAGCGAGGCGTCAAAGCGGACAGCCAGCCCGCCCGGCTTCGGTTGGGCTATTTTTAATTCAATGCATTCTAAAATAAATCACAGGCACGCCTCGCACGCTCGCGAAAATAACCGGTAACTTTACCAAAATTCCACAGTTTTCTAGAAATCCTGGTTGAAGGATTCACGGATTACCTGTTTATTCCCTTGTAATTCCAGGAATCTTCCAATCAGGATTTCTAGAACACTTGGACATTTTGAGAGTTACCAGAATTTTGCAACCCTAATCAGCATGCAACCGTGTGGGGGACCGGTATAGAATATAAAACAGTTAGATATGAGAACTAAGCCCATTGTTCCTCTGTGTGTGTCTGTGTGTGTGTGTGTGTGTGTGTGTGTGTGTGTGTGTGTGTGAGATGACAATGACAGGACTGAGGATGATGCAGGACAGCACAGCACAGGGCAGGGCAGGGCAGCTGAATAGATCATTATTTCTCCTCAACACAGAATGGCTGTGTCCCAAATATCACCTACAGTGAGGGACTGTATATAAGCTTTTCTTTCTGTTAAAAAAAAAAAAAGTAGTTGTATTTATTTATTGCAGTGGCGACTTCAATTTGTTTATAACTGACTTGGTGAAATAAAGGTATAAATGAATCGAATCAAGTATCCTCGTGTTATGTGTTGCTGTAGTCCTTTAGGCCTGTTTCCTGTTTTCAATGTGGTTGTATTTCCTGGTGTGTCATGTCCTCATCGGTCATTCTAGGAATCAACATCAATCCCAGTTAAATGCCAGCTTGGTAACTGGACTCCCATGTGGTCTCTAGGGTTCTCTAGTACTAGGCTATATTTGCGTCCCAAATGGCACCCTGTGTACCTAGTGCACTACTTTTGGCCACAGCTCTGGTCTAAAGTAGTGCACTATATAGAGAATAGGGTGTCATTTGGGATGCAGATCCTGTAGTTCAATTACTGCCCCCTGACAGACAGGCGTGCCCCCCCCCCCCCCCCCCCCCTTAGCCCACAGCTCTCTGCTTCTCTCCCACAAGAAATGCCTTTTTTAATGTTATTCTGGAGCAGTAGTTTTTGCCAATATGAATTCTATTGCTTTTTTATTGCTTTTATTTGGCGAGTCAAACGAATACATTCTGGATGTGTTTCTATCTGCGTCAGAATCATTGCTTCCCCTGAAATAGAACTCTAGCGTGGTCTCTCCCTAGAGTTACCTGGTGGTGTATTACTGTTCCCTTCCAGACATGTCCCCTCTCAGCCCACAGCTCTGGACCTATATCACCCAGACATGTCCCCTCTCAGCCCACAGCTCTGGACCTATATCACCCAGACATGTCCCCTCTCAGCCCACAGCTCTGGACCTATATCACCCAGACATGTCCCCTCTCAGCCCACAGCTCTGGACCTATATCACCCAGACATGTCCCCTCTCAGCCCACAGCTCTGTAGCTATATCACCCAGACATGTCCCCTCTCAGCCCACAGCTCTGGACCTATATCACCCAGACATGTCCCCTCTCAGCCCACAGCTCTGGACCTATATCACCCAGACATGTCCCCTCTCAGCCCACAGCTCTGGACCTATATCACCCAGACATGTCCCCTCTCAGCCCACAGCTCTGTACCTATATCACCCAGACATGTCCCCTCTCAGCCCACAGCTCTGTACCTATATCACCCAGACATGTCCCCTCTCAGCCCACAGCTCTGTAGCTATATCACCCAGACATGTCCCCTCTCAGCCCACAGCTCTGTACCTATATCACCCAGACATGTCCCCTCTCAGCCCACAGCTCTGTAGCTATATCACCCAGACATGTCCCCTCTCAGCCCACAGCTCTGTAACTATATCACCCAGACATGTCCCCTCTCAGCCCACAGCTCTGTAGCTATATCACCCAGACATGTCCCCTCTCAGCCCACAGCTCTGTAGCTATATCACCCAGACATGTCCCCTCTCAGCCCACAGCTCTGTACCTATATCACCCAGACATGTCCCCTCTCAGCCCACAGCTATGTAACTATATCACCCAGACATGTCCCCTCTCAGCCCACAGCTCTGTACCTATATCACCCAGACACGTCCCCTCTCAGCCCACAGCTCTGTAACTATATCACCCAGACATGTCCCCTCTCAGCCCACAGCTCTGTAGCTATATCACCCAGACATGTCCCCTCTCAGCCCACAGCTCTGGACCTATATCACCCAGACATGTCCCCTCTCAGCCCACAGCTCTGTAACTATATCACCCAGACATGTCCCCTCTCAGCCCACAGCTCTGTACCTATATCACCCAGACAAGTCCCATGTCAGCCGCAGCACGTGTTTAGTATTTTTATTTAAACAGGGACTCATATGGGTCTTTCTATAAACTAGGGTACAAGTGAGGATTTCCTGCGCTGGACAACTTGTTACAGCTGTTGATAAGTCATTGATAATAATCTGCCAATTTTTTTCATGTCATTACATTAAGATATAAGGGGGGAACATACCTACAGTGCATTCGGAAATTATTCAGACCCCTTGACTTCTTCCACATTTTGTTACGTTACAGCCTTATTCTAAAATGGATTCATTGTTTTTTCCCCTCATCAATCTACACACAATACCCCATAATGACATAGCAAAAACAGGTTTTTAGAAATGTTTGCACATTTATACAAAATAAATAAACTGAAATATCACATTTACATAAGTATTCAGGCTGTTTACTCAGTACTTTGTTGAAGCACCTTTGGCAGTGATTACAGCCGCGAGTCTTCTTGGGTATGACGATACAAGCTTGGCACACCTGTATTTGGGGAGTTTCTCCCATTCTTCTCTGCAGATCCTCTCAAGCTCTGTCAGGTTGGATGGGGAGCGTCGCTGCACAGTTATTTTCAGGTCTCTTCAGAGATGTTCGATCGGGTTCAAGTCCGGGCTCTGGCTGGGCCACTCAAGGACATTCAGAGACTTGTCCCGAAGCCACTCCTGTGTTGTCTTGGCTGTGTGCTTAGGGTCGTTGTCCTGTTGGAAGGTGAACCTTCCCCCAAGTCTGAGGTCCTGAGCGCTCTGGAGCAGGTTTTCATCAAGGATCTCTCTGTACTTTTCTCCGTTCATCTTTCCCTCGATCCTGACTAGTCTCCCAGTCCATGCCGCTGAAAAACATCCCCACAGCATGATGCTGCCACCACCATGCTTCACAATAGGGCCACTCTACCATAAAGGCTTGATTGGTGGAGTGCTGCAGAGAAACGTGGAACAGAAGGTATATAAGCTGAGATATTTTCTTTGTTCAGTAGTTCGGAATAGCAAGAGGCAAAGCACGTGAATTTTGTTAGAACAAACCCGGTACCGACTATTAAACATTTTGTATTAACTTTCCACATAGTTGTCTAAGTATATTCTTGCATCCTTAATTACTTGATACCTGATAAACTCATCATAACAAAGAGTCTTGGTGGTTCCAATCTTCTTCCATTTAAGAATGATGGAGGCCACCGTGTTCTTGGGGACCTTCAATGTTACAGACATTTTTTTGGTACCCTTCCCCAGATCTGTGCCTCGACACAATCCTGTCTCGGAGCTCTACGGACAATTCCTTCAACTCATGGCTTGGTTTTTGCTCTGACATGCACTGTCAACTGTGGGACCTTATATAGACAGGTGTGTGCCTTTCCAAATCATGTCCAATTAATTGAATTTACGACAGGTGGACTCCAAGTTGTAGAAATATCTCAAGGCTGATCAATGGAAACAGGATGCACCTGAGCTCAATTTGGAGTCTCATAGCAAAGGGTCTGAATAAGGTATTTCTGTTTTTTGTTTTTTTCATAAATTTGCAAACATTTCAAAAAACCTGTTTTCGCTTTGTCATTATGGGGTATTCCGTGTAGATTGAGGTAATATTGTTATTTAGTCAATTTTAGAATAAGGCTGTAACGTAACAAAGTGGAAAAAGTCAAGGGGTCTGAATACTTTCCGAATGCACTGTATATTTAATAAGATTTATGAGTTGATTTAAAATCTGTTTAACCCTTTCTCATGGTTGGTGCCTTGACGGATTTGTCCAAAATCATGTGACATGAAACATAATTTTTCTGTCCTCGCATTTATGGCAGTGTAAGTTGTCGTTATATCATATATTAAGCATTAATCCGTTAAATTAGACATGGAACTGTAACCCTGGAAGAATCCTGGATTTAGCTGTCGGACAGTTTTTTATATAGAGCTCTCAGAAATGCAGTGTAACATTACGTAACACTTAGTTTCTCCTTATGTTACAGGGTGAAAATAGTTTTTATTGGCACACAAATCTCCCAAAATCGAATGCTTCTAACCGAAAGATCTGTCATTAACGTGGTTAATTGATACTGTCATTAACATGGTTCATTGATACTGTCATTAACTTGGTTCATTGATACTGTCATTAACGTGGTTGATTGATACTGTCATTAACGTGGTTCATTGATACTGTCATTAACATGGTTCTTCAGTAATTATGCATAATACTTCTTGCATGCGCATTAGCTGTTTAATTACATAATCTTCATCATCCGATCCAGGAAGGAATTTTCAGAATGACAGTCAAGTGACGAACAGCCCAATTGCTGAAAAAAAGGTGTTGGCGAGGAATGTCCGGAATATTTCGGTGTCTCGTTCGTTAACGCCGGTGAAGACAGTTGTGCCTGGATCCACGTTGGATCTAATATCCCTAGCGAATTGATGTTAATAATCTGTTGTTGTCGGCTTGAGTTACAGTAGAGTCTCGTTAGATTTAACAGAGAAAGCGTCAAGGTAATGACTTCATGTTTTCATATGTTTTAGTGCCTTCGGATTGGACACGGAGTCTACTGTGAGCAATTGTGTAGGATAGACTATTGCGCAACACACAACTCCTATCTATTAATTATTCTGAATTTTAATGACGACAAATGAAAAGCCTAGTGGGCTTCTTCACAACATGATCTGGTAATGAAATAACATGACAAATACGTTTTGGTTTCCATGTTACTCCTGCCGTTTTAAACAATACAAAGGGGCTTGAAGTAGCCTACTTGAACTTGGAGCTCCGGAATTGAAGTATGCTTTGGAATTTCCTCAATTTGGTGCTTGAAAAATCCTTGTAATTATTGTAGCCAATTTCTCCTGCTCCCTTGTTATAATCTGTGATTTCGTTTTTTGATCCGTTTTTTTTTTGTGAGAGATGTGGCCAATTTTCCATTGAAGGGAGTTGCGCTACTCTGTTGCGGTAAAACCACATGCGGTTATTATGAGGACGACAACATCTTAATGCTGGCTTCAACTTGGCTTTCCATACAAATCCTTCCATGTCAAAAGAAACCTGGTTTTTGGTCGCTTTCTCATTATAAAAACAGCGACGGTGAGATGAATGCTACCGCTATTCATGGCTTTATTATGTGTGCCTGCGTCGGACACAAAGACTACAAAAAAATCACCATGCATGCATCCAATTTATTTAGTCAGGCAAGTCCACATTAAACCATGCAAGTCCACATTATTCTCACATATTTTAGAATGTAATAATGCTTGAGTATTTGCTTGTAAGCAGGAATCAGGAGGATAGAATTATGGCCAGATTTGCCAAATGGAGGGCGAGGGAGAGCTTTGTATGCATCTCTGTGTGTGGAGTAAACATGGTCTGGAGTTTTTTTTCCCTCTGGTTGCACATGTGGCATGCTGGTAGAAATGAGGTAAAACGGATTTCAGTTTGCCTGCATTGAAGTCCCCGGCCACTAGGAGCGCCGCTTCTGGATGAGCATTTTCTTGTTTGCTTATGGCCTTATACAGCTCGTTGAGTGCGGTCTTAGTGCCAGCATCGGTTTGTGGTGGTAAATAGACAGCTACGAATAATATAGATGAAAACCATCTTGGTAGATAGTGGGTCTACAGCTTATCATGAGATACTCTACCTCAGGCGAGCAATACCTCGAAACTTCTTTAATATTAGTCATCGCGCATCAGCTGTTATTGACAAATAGATACACACCACCACCCCTCGTCTTACCAGACGTAACTGTTCTGTCCTGCCGATGCATGGAAAACCCAGCCAGCTCTATATTATCCGTGTCGTCGTTCAGCCACGACTCGGTGAAACATAAGATATTACAGTTTTTAATGTCCCGTTGGTAGGATAATCTCGAACGGAGATCATCCAGTTTATTTTCCAGTGATTGCACGTTGGCCAATAGAACAGATGGTAGAGGCGGGTTACCCACTCGCCGACAAATTCTCACAAGGCTCCCCGATCTCCGCCCCCTCTGGGCCTGATCTCGGGGAAGCAGTATATCCTTCGCGTCGGACTCAATAAAGAAAAAATCTTCGTCCAGTTCGAGGTGAGTAATCGCTGTTCTGATATCCAGAAGCTCTTTTCGGTCATAAGAGACGATAGCAGCAACATTATGTACCAAATAAGTTACAAACAATGCGAAAAAACTAACAAAATAGCACAATTGCTTAGGAGCCCGTAAAACAGCAGCCTTCCCCTCCGGCGCCATTATATTAATTAACATATGAACCAGATTTATGCTGTTAGCACTGAGGCGGTGTGCCCTAGAAGGAAGCTCACTGTGTGCAGTTCACCCTGCACTAACATAAATAACATGAGAATATCTACTTCTGCTAAGCTTCCCAATAAAGCAATGAAAACAAGAAAGCATCCCAGAAAAGTGCTCAAAATAGCCCACGTGAACATATGTAGCTTAAGAAACAAGGTTCATGAAATGAATAACTTGCTAGTAACAGATGACATTCATATTCTGACTATTCTCTGAAATTCTGAAACTCACTTAGATAATACCTTCGATACAGTGGTAGCAATACAAGGTTATAACATTTACAGAAAAGACAGAAATGCCAATGGTGGAGGTGTTGCTGTTTATATTCAGAACCACATTCCTGTAAAGATAAGAGACGATCTCATGTTAAATACTGTTGAAGTAATATGGCTACAGGTTCATCTGCCTCACCTAAATCCCATTCTTGTGGGAAGCTGCTATAGACCACTTAGTTCTAACAGTCAGTATCTGGATAATGTGTGAAATACTTGATAATGTATGTGATATCAACAGAGAGGTACAGTGGGGAGAACAAGTATTTGATACACTGCCGATTTTGCAGGTTTTCCTACTTACAAAGCATGTAGAGGTCTGTAATTTTTATCATAGGTACACTTCAATTGTGAGAGACGGAATCTAAAACAAAAATCCAGAAAATCACATTGTATGATTTTTAAGTATTTCATTTGCATTTTATTGCATGACATAAGTATTTGATACATCAGAAAAGCAGAACTTAATATTTGGTACAGAAACCTTTGTTTGCAATTACAGAGATCATACGTTTCCTGTAGGTCTTGACCAGGTTTGCACACACTGCAGCAGGGATTTTGGCCCACTCCTCCATACAGACCTTCTCCAGATCCTTCCGGTTTCGGGGCTGTCGCTGGGCAATACGGACTTTCAGCTCCCTCCAAAGATTTTCTATTGGGTTCAGGTCTGGAGACTGGCTAGGCCACTCCAGGACCTTGAGATGCTTCTTACGGAGCCACTCCTTAGTTGCCCTGGCTGTGTGTTTCGGGTCGTTGTCATGCTGGAAGACCCAGCCACGACCCATCTTCAATGCTCTTACTGAGGGAAGGAGGTTGTTTGCCAAGATCTCGCGATTCATGGCCCCATCCATCATCCCCTCAATACGGTGCAGTCGTCCTGTCCCCTTTGCAGAAAAGCATCCCCAAAGAATGATGTTTCCACCTCCATGCTTCACGGTTGGGATGGTGTTCTTGGGGTCGTACTCATCCTTCTTCTTCCTCCAAACACGGCGAGTGGAGTTTAGACCAAAAAGCTATATTTTTGTCTCATCAGACCACATGACCTTCTCCCATTCCTCGTCTGGATCATCCAGATGGTCATTGGCAAACTTCAGACGGGCCTGGACATGCGCTGGCTTTAGCAGGGGGACCTTGCGTGCGCTGCAGGATTTTAATCCATGACGGCGTAGTGTGTTACTAATGGTTTTCTTTGAGACTGTGGTCCCAGCTCTCTTCAGGTCATTGACCAGGTCCTGCCGTGTAGTTCTGGGCTGATCCCTCACCTTCCTCATGATCATTGATCCCCCACGAGGTGAGATCTTGCATGGAGCCCCAGACCGAGGGTGTTTGACCGTCATCTTGAACTTCTTCCATTTTCTAATAATTGCGCCAACAGTTGTTGCCTTCTCACCAAGCTGCTTGCCTATTGTCCTGTAGCCCATCCCAGTCTTGTGCAGGTCTACAATTTTATCCCTGTTGTCCTTACACAGCTCTCTGGTCTTGGCCATTGTGGAGAGGTTGGAGTCTGTTTGATTGAGTGTGTGGACAGGTGTCTTTTATACAGGTAACGAGTTCAAACAGGTGCAGTTAATCCAGGTAATGAGTGGAGAACAGGAGGGCTTCTTAAAGAAAAACTAACAGGTCTGTGAGAGCCGGAATTCTTACTGGTTGGTAGGTGATCAAATACTTATGTCATGCAATAAAATGCAAATGAATTACTTAAAAATCATACAATGTGATTTTCTGGATTTTTGTTTTAGATTCCGTCTCTCACAGTTGAAGTTTACCTATGATAAAAATTACAGACCTCTACATGCTTTGTAAGTAGGAAAACCTGCAAAATCGGCAGTGTATCAAATACTTGTTCTCCCCACTGTATATCTTCTGGGTGATTAAAATATTGACTGGCTTTCATCAACTGCCCACTCAAGAAAAAGCTTCAAACTGTAACCAGAGCCTGCAACCTGGTTCAGGTTATCAGTTATCAGTCAACCTACCAGAGTAGTTACAAACAGCATAGGAATTAAATAATCAACATGTATTGATCACATCTTTACTAATGCTGCAGAAATATGCTTGAAAGCAGGATCCAGATCCATAGGATGTAGTGATCACAATATAGTAGCCATATCTAGGAAAACCAAAGTTCCAAAGTTTAGTGGTGTGTAATGAGGAGCAAACAGACGCTGCACTTGACACATTTATGAAATTGCTTATCCCAGTTACTAATAAGCATGCACCCATTAAGAAAATGACTGTAAAAACTGTTAAATCCTTGTGGCTTGATGAGGAATTGAACAAATCTATGGTTGAGAGGGATTAGGGAAAAGGTATGGCAGATACAGTGTGGAAAAAAGTATTTAGTCAGCCACCAATTGTGCAAGTTCTCCCACTTAAAAAGATGAGAGAGGCCTGTAATTTTCATCATAGGTACACGTCAACTATGACAGACAAATTGAGAAAATAAATTCCAGAAAATCACATTGTAGTATTTTTAATGAATTTATTTGCAAATTATGGTGGAAAATAAGTATTTGGTCACCTACAAACAAGCAAGATTTCTGGCTCTCACAGACCTGTAACTTCTTCTTTAAGAGGCTCTTCTGTCCTCCACTCGTTACCTGTATTAATGGCACCTGTTTGAACTTGTTATCAGTATAAAATACACCTGTCCACAACCTCAAACAGACGCACTCCAAACTCCACTATTGCCAAGACCAAAGAGCTGTCAAAGGACACCAGAAACAAAATTGTAGACCTGCACCAGGCTGGGAAGACTGAATCTGCAATAGGTAAGCAGCTTGGTTTGAAGAAATCAACTGTGGGAGCAATTATTAGGAAATGGAAGACATACAAGACCACTGATAATCTCCCTCGATCTGGGGCTCCACGCAAGATCTCACCCCGTGGGGTCAAAATGATCACAAGAACGGTGAGCAAAAGGAGGACAAAGAATGCTGAGTTGCATCCAAAGAACACCATACCTACTGTGAAGCATGGGGGTGGAAACATCATGCTTTGGGGCTGTTTTTCTGCAAAGGGACCAGGACGACTGATCCGTGTAAAGGAAAGAATGAATGGGGCCATGTATCGTGAGATTTTGAGTGAAAACCTCCTTTCATCAGCAAGGGCATTGAAGATGAAACGTGGCTGTGTCTTTCAGCATGACAATGATCCCAAACACACCGCCCGGGCAACGAAGGAGTGGCTTCGTAAAAAGCATTTCAAGGTCCTGGAGTGGCCTAGCCAGTCTCCAGATCTCAACCCCATAGAAAATCTTTGGAGGGAGTTGAAAGTCCGTGTTGCCCAGCGACAGCCCCAAAACATCACTGCTCTAGAGGAGATCTGCATGGAGGAATGGGCCAAAATACCAGCAACAGTGTGTGAAAACCTTGTGAAGACTTACAGAAAATGTTTGACCTGTGTCATTGCCAACAAAGGGTATATAACAAAGTATTGAGAAACTTTTGTTATTGACCAAATACTTATTTTCCACCATAATTTGCAAATAAATTCATAAAAAAATCGTACAATGTGATTTTCTGGAGAAGAAAAATCTCTTTTTGTCTGTCATAGTTGACGTGTACCTATGATGAAAATTACAGGCCTCTCTCATCTTTTTAAGTGGGAGAACTTGCACAATTGGTGGCTGACTAAATACTTTTTTCCCCCACTGTAAGTCTGGCTGCACAACCGATTGGCAAACATACTGCAAATTGAGAAAACATGTGACTAAACTGAGTAAAAAGAAGAAACTAAGAATGCCAAAGAATGTAAAAAAAACTTGAATCAGATGGCTCATTCATTACAAAACCAACTGATATTGCCAACTACTTTAATTATTTTTTCATTGACAAGCTTAGCCAACTTAGGCATGACATGCCAGCAGCAAACGCTGACACTACACATCCAAGTATATCTGACCAAATTTTGACAGACAAGCATTGTAATTTTGAATTCCGTAAAGTGAGTGTGGAAGAGGTGAAAAAAGTATTGTTGTCTATCAACAATGACAAGCCACCGGGGTCAGACAACTTGGATGGAAAATTGACAGACTTTCAGCACGCTTATAGTGAAGGACATTCAACAAGCACAGCACTTGATGCTAAGAGAAATTGATGCTAAAAATATTGTGGGGGCTGTCTTGTTAGACTTCAGTGCAGCTTTTGACATTATCGATCATAGTCTGCTGCTGGAAATACTTATGTGTTATGGCTTTACATCCCCTGCTATATTGTGGATAAAGAGTTACCTGTCTAACAGAACACAGAGTGTGTTCTTTAATGGAAGCCTCTCCAACATAATCCAGGTAGAATCAGGAATTCCCCAGGGCAGCTGTCTAGGCCCCTTACTTTTTTCAATCTTTACTAACGACATGCCAGTGGCTTTGAGTAAAGCTTTGAGTAAAGCCTGTGTGTCTATGTATGCGGATGACTCAACACTATACACGTCAGCTACTACAGCGACTGAAATGACTGCAACACTTAACAAAGAGTTGCAGTTAGTTTCAGAATGGGTGGCAAGGAATAAGTTAGTCCTAAATATTTCAAAAACTAAAAGTATTGTATTTGGGACAAATCCTTCACTAAACACTAAACCTCAACTAAATATTGTAATAAATAATGTGGAAATTGAGCAAGTTGAGGTGACTAAACTGCTTGGAGTAACCCTGTATTGTAAACTGTCATGGTCAAACATATTGATACAACAGTAGTTACGAATGGGAGAAGTCTGTCCATAATAAAGCTCAGCTCTGCCTTTTTAACAGCACTATCAACAAGGCAGGTCCTACAGGCTCTAGTTTTGTCACACCTGAACTACTGTTCAGTCGTGTGGTCAGCTGCCACAAAGAGGGACCTCGGAAAATTACAATTGGCTCAGAACAGGGCAGCACGGCTGGCCCTTGGATGTACATAGAGAGCAAACATTAATAATATGATTGTCAATCTCTCCTGGCTCAAAGTGACTTCATCACTACTTGTGTTTGTGAGAGGTATTGACATGTTGAATGCACCGAGCTGTCTGTTTAAACGACTAGCACACAGCTTGGAAACCCATGCATACCCCACAAGACATGCCACCAGAGGTCTCTTCACAGTCCCCAAGTCCAGAACAGACTATGGGAGGTGCACAGTACTACATAGAGCCATGACTACATGGAACTCTATTCCACATCAAGGTAACTGATGCAAGCAGTAGAATCAGATTTAATAAACGTAGAAATACACCTTATGGAACAGCGGGGACTGTGAAGAGACACACACAGGTACAGACACATGCACACACACACACACATGATAACATACGCACTATACACACACGTACACATAGATTTTGTGTTGTAGATATGTGGTAGTGGAGTAAGGGCCTGAGGGCACACAATTAGTGTGTTAAGAAATCTGTTATGAATGTATTGTAATGTTTAAGAAATATATATAACTGCCTTAATTTTGCTGGACCCCAGGAAGAGTAGCTGCTGCCTTGGCAAAATACAAAACCCCCTCGTTATGGCAAGCCTAAATAAGTTCAGGAGTAAACATTTGCTTAAGTCACATAATAAATTGCATGGACTCACTCTGTGTGCAATAATAGTGTTTAACGTGATTTTTTTAATGACTACCTCATCTCTGTACCCCACACATACAATTATCTGTAAGGTCCCTCAGTCGAGCAGTGAATTTCAAACACAGATTCAACCACAAAGACCAGGGAGGTTTTCCAATGCCTCACAAAGAAGGGCACCTATTGGTAGATGGGTAAAACATTTAAAAAGTAGACATTGAACAACCCTATGAGCATGGTGAAGTTATTAATTACACTTTGGATGGTGTATCAATACACCCAGTCACTACAAAGATACAGGCATCCTTCCTAACACAGTTGCCGGAGAGGAAGGAAACTGCCCAGGGATTTCACCATGAGGCCAATGGTGACTTTAAAACAGTTACAGAGTTTAATGGCTGTGATAGGAGAAAACTGAGGATGGATCAACAACATTGTAGTTACTCCACAATACTAACCTAATTGACAAAGTGAAGAGAAGGAAGCCTGTACAGAATACAAATATTCCAAAACATGCATCCTGTTTTCAACAAGGCACTAAAGTTTTACTGCAGTAAAACAGTGTTATGTTTGGGGCAAATCCAATACAACACATTATTGAGTACAACTCTCCATATTTTCAAGCATAGTGGTGGCTGCATCATGTTATGGGTATGCTTGTAATATTCAGCACTTCGAGATATTAGCTGATGTAAGAAGGGCTATATAAAATAAAATTGATTGAAAATTGATTGATTGATTAAGGACTGTGGAGTTTTTCAGGATAAAAAAATAAATGGAATGGAGCTAAGCACAGGCAATGCAGAGGGTTGAATACTTATCTATTCAAGATATAGTAATGTTTTATTTTTCATTAATATTTGTGTAGATCCATTTTAATCCCACTTTGTAACACATCAAAATGTGAAACAAGTCAAGGAGTGTGAATACTTTCTGAAGGCATTGTACTAGCCCAGAAACAACATAGTGATGATGTTGACGTGGGGTCTGTTGCATAAAACTGCTAGAACATTCTTATTTATATTTATAAACAGGTAATGTTGACGTGAAGGAAACCTCATCGGGCGGTAACCGAAAGGTTGCGGGTTCAAATACCGGAGCCGACAAAGTAAAAAATAAAAGACAATCTGCCACTGTGCCCTTGCGCAAGGCACTTAACCCTAATTGCTTCAGGGGCGCTGTACAATGGCGACCCTGGCTGTGATCCCACTCCCTGCGGGTGTCTCGGGGATATGCAAGAAACATTTCCATCACACACTTGGGTGTAACAGGACAAATATCAACACCCCCAAAATAATAATAATTATTATTATTATTATTATTATTATTATGATTATATGGCAGGCAGTTGTTTAGGCTACAACCTACAACATTTACATTTACATTTTAGTCATTTAGCAGACGCTCTTATCCAGAGCGACTTACAGTTAGTGCATACATTATTCCCCCCATGGGAATCGAACCCACAACCCTGGCGTTGCAAATGCCATGCTCTACCAACTGAGCTACATCCCTGCCGGCCATTCCCTCCCCTACCCTGGACAACGCTGGGCCAATTGTGCGCCGCCCCATGGGTCTCCCGGTCGCGGCCGGCTACGACAGAGCCTGGATTCGAACCAGGATCTCTAGTGGCACAGCTAGCACTGCGATGCAATGCCTTAGACCACTGCGCCACTCGGGACAACCAGGCACCATGCCCCCACAGAGTTACAGGCTATTAACAGGTTACATACCAATACACCCAGTCACTACAAAGATACAGGCATCCTTCCTGTTTTGTTTGGGGCAAATCCTGTGGGGGTATGTAACCAGGCTATTAACAGGTTACATACCCCAACAGTGTTAATGCCCCCAAATGTTAACAGGTTAAATGCCCCCAAACCTGGCTAACGCCTAACTCTCGAAGTGCGCTGTGAGTCCCAGCCTGTGATCTAGAACCTGTTATGTGCTAACGTTCCACTCCTTGTACTCCATTTCATTGCGAAACATGACAAGAGTGGCAAAGATTGGAATGATGACACATACAGGGAATTTGGGGAAAGTTACTAGAATTGTTCCACCCTAGCAGCCAGGTTTCCCAAGCAGCTAGCTTCTCGTGTGGGAACTAAGATTTAGTGAAATGCCCAACAGAACAGGAATAATAATAATAATAATAATGTATATTTTCCCAGGAAGTGAGTCAAAACACTGTGAGGTGCTTATTCAATCCCCCTCCAGTTATAACAAAGAGGACTGCCTGCCGCCCACCTCCCCTTTACCCCCTTTAGACTGTGTCCCAAATGGCATCCTATTCCCTATATAGTGCACTACTTCTGACCAGAGCCCTATAGGAATAGGGTGCCATTAGGGACAAAAACATATTAGTCTGCCCAGTCTGAGATGTTGCCAGCTTTACCTCCTCTCCTTCTCCCCTCCCCTCCTCCTCCCTCCTCTCCTCCTCCCTCCTCTCCTTCTCCCTCCTCTGCTTCTCCCTCCTCTCTCCTCCCTCTCTCCTCTCCCCCTCTCCTTCCACCCCTCCTCTCCACCTCCTCCCTCCTCTGCTTCTCCCTCCTCTCCTTCATCATCTCCCCCGCGCTCTCCTTCTCCCTCCTCCCTTCTCCCCTCCCTCCCTCCCTCCCTCCTTCTGCTGCTCCCCCTCCTCATCCTCCTCCCTCCTCTGCTTCTTCCTCCTCTGCTTTTCCCTCCCTCCGTCTCTCCCTCCTCTGCTTCTCCCTCCTCTGCTTCTCCTCCTCTCCTTCTCCCTCCTCTCTCTCCCTCCTCTGCTTCTCTCTCCCTCCCTCTTCCTTCTCCCCTCCCTGCCTTCTTCTCCCTCCTCTCCTTCTCCCTCCTGCTCCTTACTCCTCCCTCCTCTCCTTCTCCCTCCTCTCCTTCTCCCTCCTCTCCTTCTCCCTCCTCTCCTTCTCCCTCCTCTGCTTCCTCCCTCCTCTGCTTCTCCCTCCTCTGCTTCTCCCTCCTCTGCTTCTCCCTCCTCTGCTTCTCCCTCCTCTGCTTCTCCCTCCTCTGCTTCTCCCTCCTCTCCTTCTCCCTCCTCTCCTTCTCTAACCAGAACAGACAAAGTAGGGGTAAGTGAAAGAGGATTTAGCCTTTGGTCCAGACACCCCTAGTTAGCATCAAGCAAGTCCAGCGTTTTGAACAAGGTCTGTGTTCTTTAGCCAATAAAAAAAAAAAGTCCACATCTTCTCTACCACCTCTTCTCTACCACCTCTTTGGCATAGACAACTTAGTTTCTTTTTTTTCTCAGTCGCTCAAAATATTTGTTTTTCCACTCCTCAGAGCTGTGGCTTTTGGATGGAAATGGGTCTTGCTAAGTGGAGAGTTTAGATAACACTAGACTTCTTAGCCTTTTCCATGAAATTATCACTATCAGCACATAATGACTTCTGAAGACTTGAGGGTTGGTATGATATCCTCTGAGTCATGTCTTCTGGGTTATTGGTCAACACCGTTGATGACATCATGATGGGTTACACAGGCTTACAGGGTTTGTTTTGACTGTCAATCATCCCGTTACCCAACATGAAAGTATTTGATTATTTAGACAAACATAGCATCAATACTTTCATCATTACTTACAGACTAATAGAGTTGATGAAGGTTTGGGTTTTTATGTTCATGTGCGGCTTACAGGGATGTGTTTTGACTGTGAGGCTTACAAGGATGTGTTTTGACTGTGAGGCTTACAGGGATGTGTTTTGACTGTGAGGCTTACAGGGATGTGTTTTGACTGGGAGGCTAACAGGGATGTGTTTTGACTGTGAGGCTAACAGGGATGTGTTTTGACTGGGAGGCTAACAGGGATGTGTTTTGACTGGGAGGCTTACAGGGATGTGTTTTGACTGGGAGGCTTACAAGGATGTGTTTTGACTATGAGGCTTACAAGGATGTGTTTTGACTGTGAATCATCTGTTTACTCAGCATTGTAATATTATAAAGGTAGTTCTAGCAGTGTTGATCTTTAAGTGTCTGTCTGCCTGCCTTCCTGCTTATCTGTCTGTCTGTCTGTCTGTCTGCCTGTCTGCTTGTCTGTCTGTCTGTCTGCCTGTCTGCTTGTCTGTCTGTCTGTCTGTCTGCCTGTCTGTCTGTCTGTATGTCTGCTTGTCTGTCTGCTTGTCTGTCTGCTTGTCTGCTTGTCTGTCTGTCTGTCTGTCTGTCTGTCTGTCTGTCTGTCTGTCTGTCTGTCTGTCTGTCTGCTTGTCTGTCTGTCTGTCTGCCTGTCTGCTTGTCTGTCTGTCTGCCTGTCTGCTTGTCTGTCTGTCTGCCTGTCTGCTTGTCTGTCTGTCAGCCTGTCTGTCTGTCAGCCTGCCTGTCTGTTGTGGGTTTTCTCTGCGTGCATTAGACCAGTTGTAATTCTTCTCCATCTTCTATGTGCAGGTTGTGCAGTCTGACTCTGAAGAAGTTGGTGGTTCTGATGGAGCTGGATAAGGAGCTCATCTCAGTGGTCATCGCTGTCAAGATCCAGGTATGAACATCACTTTCCCCTTCAGAAACACCTCACATGGCTGCAGGGACGGCAGGCACACACCTGAATGCAACATCTACACGTACCGTACACACAATCTGAATGCTGCATTCACACACAGCTTACACACACGCTGCATACGTCACACATATCCTCTCAGACAAATGCTTTCATCCTGGCTGATGTTTTTCCTCATGCATCCTTTTCCCCACTTCCTCTACATTGACTTGGTACCTGCTGGTTGAATATTGGAGCTTAATTTACTTTGTAGAGAAGTGGTCACCAACCTTTTGAGTCAAGATCACTTTCTCAGTAAAAATGCAAGCCGAGTTTTACCGCTCAGATGTTTTTTTTTTTTACATGACTTACAAAATGTAAGCCTATTCAACATGAACTCACTCATAAAAACAGCATCTCTTTGCTGTATTCGTTGACAGTCTCTCTCTCTCTCTCTCTAGTCGTGGTTTTAAAACGTTTTTGAAATCTCACAGTATCAAAACTTCGCTGTAGATTTCTTATGTGCTACGTTACTGCAGACACGGTCATCTGAGCCATCCGATTGGCCAGCGGTGGGCCAATAGAGCACTTAATTTGCTCTCAGGGCCAGCCGGTGAAGGCAGAGATTTACCTTCAGACACATTAAATAATGGTTCAAAATGGGAACACTTCGCCTACTCTGCGTGCAGAGCAGAATCGGGTGAACCTACCGCCAACAGCGCGAGATGAAAAAAAAAATAAAGGAACGCAAGGCTTTATTGATCAACTAGGAATGCCTTGGAGATCGACCACGATCGCGATCGACCAGTTGGTGACTGGCCAGTGTTGTAGAGCATTGATTATTTTGTAGAGCACTGATACATTTATTTAGTATAGCATTGCTTAATTGATTTTTGTAGAGCATTGATTATTTTCTAGAGCTTTGCTTATTGCAGTCATGGTATCAATGCAATAATCATATCACTGACTTCTAAAGCAATGCTCTACAAAGAACCACATCAGTCCTGCTAAATCACAATTTCCCGCATTTTATGCGAGGGCTTGCAAATTTGACTAATCACTGCATTATTTACGGCATAAAACAGTCAAATCCTGGAGGGACTGGATAATGTAAATGAGTGCTGGTCTGATGTGATGTGATTCCTTCCCCAGGGTTCAAAGAGGATCCTGAGGTCCCATGAGATAGTGCTGCCCCCTAGTGGCTCGGTGGAGACTGACCTGGCTCTCACCTTCTCACTGCAGGTAAACACCAGACAGACAGACAGACAGACAGACTGACCTGGCTCTCACCTTCTCACTGCAGGTAAACACCAGACAGACAGACATACTGACCTGGCTCTCACCTTCTCACTGCAGGTAAACACCAGACAGACAGACAGACAGACATACTGACCTGGCTCTCACCTTCTCACTGCAGGTAAACACTAGACAGACAGACAGACAGACATACTGACCTGGCTCTCACCTTCTCACTGCAGGTAAACACTAGACAGACAGACAGACAGACAGACAGACAGACAGACTGACCTGGCTCTCACCTTCTCACTGCAGGTAAACACCAGACAGACAGACAGACAGACATACTGACCTGGCTCTCACCTTCTCACTGCAGGTAAACACTAGACAGACAGACAGACAGACAGACTGACTGACCTGGCTCTCACCTTCTCACTGCAGGAAAACACTAGACAGACAGACAGACATACTGACCTGGCTCTCACCTTCTCACTGCAGGTAAAAACTCCAGACCAGGAGTGTCTGCAGGTTTTTGTTTTTTCCTTTCAATTAAGCCCTAGACAACCAGGTGAGGGGAGTTCCTTACTAAGCCCTGGACAACCAGGTGAGGGGAGTTCCTTACTAAGCCCTAGACAACCAGGTGAGGGGAGTTCCTTACTAAGCCCTAGACAACCAGGTGAGGGGAGTTCCTTACTAAGCCCTAGACAACCAGGTGAGGGGAGTTCCTTACTAAGCCCTGGACAACCAGGTGAGGGGAGTTCCTTACTAAGCCCTGGACAACCAGGTGAGGGGAGTTCCTTACTAAGCCCTAGACAACCAGGTGAGGGGAGTTCCTTACTAAGCCCTAGACAACCAGGTGAGGGGAGTTCCTTACTAAGACCTAGACAACCAGGTGAGGGGAGTTCCTTACTAAGACCTAGACAACCAGGTGAGGGGAGTTCCTTACTAATGAATGACCTTAATTCATCAATCAAGTACAAGGGAGGAGAGAAAACCAGCCAAACTGACCAATCAGGGGGAGAAGGGCTTTGGTCAGGGAGGTGACCAAGAACCTGATGGTCAATCTGACAGAGCTCTAGAGTTCCTCTGTGGAGATGGGAGAACCTTCCAGAAGGACAACCATCTCTGTAGCACTCCACCAATCAGGCCTTTTATGGTAGAGTGGCCAGACGGAAGCCACTCCTCAGTAAAAGGCACATGACAGCCTGCTTGGAGTTTGCCAAAAGGCACCTAAAGGACTCTGACCTTGAGAAACAAGATTCTCTGGTCTGATGAAACCAAGATTGAACCCTTTGGCCTGAATGCCAAGCATCACGTCTGGAGGAAACCTGGCACCATCCCTACGGTGAAGCATGGTGGTGGCAGCATCATGCTGTGGGGATGGTTTTCAGCGGCAGGGACTGAGAGACTAGTCAGGATCGAGGGAAAGCTGAACAGAGCAAAGTACAGAGAGATCCTTGATGAAATCCTACTCCATAGCGCTCAGGACCTCAGACTGGGGCGAAGGTTCACCTTCCAACAGGACAACGACCCTAAGCACAGAGCCAAGACAACGCAGGAGTGGCTTCGGGACAAGTCTCTAAATGTCCTTGAGCCCGATCTAACATCTCTGGAGACCTGAAAATAGCTGTGCAGCAACACTCCCCATCCAACCTGACAGAGCTTGAGAGGATCTGCAGAGAAGAATGGGAGAAACTCCCCAAATACAGGTGTGCCAAGCTTGTAGCGTCATACCCAAGAAGACTTGAGGCTGTAATCACTGCCAAAGGTGCTTCAACAAAGTACTGAGTAAAGTATTGTGTGTAGATTGATGAGGGGAAAAAAACTATTTAATAAATTTTAGAATAAGGTTGTAACGAAACAACATGTGGAAGAAGTCAAGGGGTCTGAATACTTTCCGTATGCACTGTATGTTCTTCAAAGACGGCGTAATGAGAGAAATAATGTAGCCTAAGCTATTGAAAATAGGCCTTTTACAAGATTAAATCATGACAGGAGCATTTGATTCTTATTAAAGAGACAGGCTACTTTAGGAAACTTTCTGAACGGACATACAGTGCTATGAAAAAGTATTTGCCCCCTTTCTAATTTTCTCTACTTTTGCATATTTGTGATACTGAATGTTGTCAGATCTTCAACCAAAACCTAATATTAGATAAAGGGAACATAAGTGAACAAATAACACAATAATTACATTTTGTTACAAAGTTATGCAACACCCAATTCCCCTGTGTGAAAAAGTAATTGCCCCCTTACACTCAATAACTGGTTGTGCCACCTTTAGCTGCAATGACTCCAACCAAATGCTTCCTGTAGTTGTTGATCAGTCTCTCACGTCGCTGTGGAGGAATTTTGGCCCACTCTTCCATGCAGAACTGCTTTAACTCAGTGACGTGTGGGTTTTCAAGCATGAACTGCTTGTTTCAAATCCTGCCACAACATCTCAATTGGGATTAGGTCTGGACTTTGACTAGGCCATTCCAAAACTTCCAATTTGCTGCCTTTTAGCAATTTTCATGTAGACTTGATTGTGTGTTTTGGATCATTGTCTTGTTGCATGACCCAGCTGCGCTTCAGCTTCAGCTCACAGACGGATGTTCTGACATTCTCCTGTGGAATTCTCTGATACAGAGCAGAATTCATGGTTCCTTCTATTAAGGCAAGTCGTCCAGGTCCTGAGACAGCAAAGCATCCCCAAACCATCACACCACCACCACCATGCTTGACCTTTGGTATGATGTTCTTACTGTGGAATGCAGAGTTTGGTTTTCGCCAGGCATAATGGGACCCATCTCGTCCAAAGTGCTTATACAGAAACCCAGCCTAAAAACCCCAAACAGCAAGCAATGCAGATGTAGAAGCACAGTGGCTAGGAAAAACTCCCTAGAAAGGCAGGAACCTAGGAAGAAACCTAGAGAGGTGGAAAAACTCCCTATAGTTCTGCCTAGAGAGAGAATCAGCGAACTCACACACGCACACCCCCCGTAAAAGCACTCGTCAATCAAAGCCACCAGCGTATTTACAACACTAGCAAATATTTATCCTTTCCTTAAAACGTATTTTAAAAAAAACCTAGGCCTAACTTAGTCTTTCCAAAGGTAGCTATAAGATAATGACTTGACCAGGACAGTATGAAGGGGACAGAGCTGTGGTATAGTATGAAGATGAAACTGACAATCATTAAAATAGAAACAAATACAGTGAAAAAATATATATATATTAGGTAGGTACAGTGGGGAAAAAAAGTATTTAGTCAGCCACCAATTGTGCAAGTTCTCCCACTTAAAAAGATGAGAGAGGCCTGTAATTTTCATCATAGGTACACGTCAACTATGACAGACAAATTGAGAGAGAAAAAAAATCCAGAAAAATCACATTGTAGGATTTTTAATGAATTTATTTGCAAATTATGGTGGAAAATAAGTATTTGGTCACCTACAAACAAGCAAGATTTCTGGCTCTCACAGACCTGTAAATAGAGGACTTAGTCGACTTACTGTGTGAGGTGAAGAACAAGAGGATGAGAAGTCCAGTAGGACACTTTCCTACATTTGACATTTTGCGAGAAGCAGGCCAGGTGCTTCTATGTGTGCTCAGGCAGGCGCGCTCCTTCAATATTAACAGGACCGAGAAACCAGACATCGCTCACCTAAATGATGGTATGAAATAAGCCTAAACTTGTTTCTCACAAGGTGTAGCAGGTTGTGACCTCTGCAAACAAACGTTTCCACTCCGAGAATGAGAACGGTAAATTACTGTAATTAATACATTCATAAACAGAAATTCATGTAACCAAATGACGGGGATTAACGGTAAATTGCCTGTTTTTACAAAATGGCAGGCTACCACATGGGCAGTCATAAACGAACATAGGAGGGCCTCTCATTGTTTTTGTCTAGGGCGGCATATCGGCCAGGACCGGGCCTGATTAGTCTATGAATTAAGAAAATATCATATTATACCATGCCAGGTTGGAGAGGACTGGCCCATTAGCTCATTACAGGCTTCAGAGCCAGAACAACCTTCTCGACTGCTGTTGAATAATTCATGAATAGTCAGACACATTTACATTTTTAGTCATTTAGCAGACGCTCTTATCCAGAGCGACTTAGAGTTAAGTGAGTGCATACATTTTTCATACTGGCCCCCCGTGGCAAACGCCATGCTCTACCAACTGAGCTACATCCCTGCCGGCCATTCCCCTCCCCTACCCTAGACGACGCTGGGCCAATTGTGCGCCGCCCCATGGGGTCTCCCGGTCGCGGCCGGCTACGACAGAGCCTGGATTCGAACCAGGATCTCCAGTGGCACAGCTAGCACTGCGATGCAGTGCCTTAGACCACTGCGCCACTCGGGCTGTTACGGTGACTGTATTACCGCCACAACGGCGGTCATGAGTCATGAAGGCAGTAATTAGTCTTCTCCAAGCTCTGATGCTGCTGATGGTCATTAGCAGCCTACCAAACTTGCTAACTGCCTGGTACTCAGCACTCTATTGTCCCTCTAATCACTCTGACATCAATGCAAATGTGATCAAAAATCTAATCAAACACTTCATGAGCTCATGTTGCGCAACATTTCTATGGGGGGCCCGTGTAGCTCAGTTGGTAGAGCATGGCGCTTGCAACACCAGGGTTGTGGGTTCGTTTCCCACGGGGGGCCAGTATGAAAAATAATGTATGCACTCACTAACTGTAAGTAGCTCTGGATAAGAGCGTCTGCTAAATGACTCAAATGTAAATGTATAGCCCACCAGGCTGGCATGAAAATGAACCATGGGAAAAGTGTCCTCCATTCGCTATTTAAGTGCAGAGATGACATGTATGTTTTCCCCTGCCCTGTTTCGAGACAGGTGCATGATAATGGTCCATTGTAAATCAAAACAAATTTCACACATATAAATGATTATTTAGTATATGTAAAGACAAGATTAAATCAAGAATAGTCTGATGGGTGACAATATTAGCCTATCACTTGTGAATTATATATTAGCACTTGTAAATGATGCCCATCTTAAGGCAAGAAGTAAATGTAAATGTAAAGAAGTGTTGTTGAAGTGTTGACAGCCTGCGCAAAAAACAAAGCAGAGCTCGTGCCTTTTGAGCGACATTTTTTAAATCATCATTAGAGTTGCATCATGCAGCCTTGCAATGTATTCAAAATCTAAACATATAGCCCGATGTTTGTAGAACAACTAAAGTTACATTAATAATTAAATAAATTAAGCATATAGGAGGACCTGTTTCTTTGTTAACCGCTCAACACAGAATAGCCGCATGTGCGCACTCCCTCATCGTTTGGAGAAAGCATCCTTTCTATTTTATTCAGCTTTGTTCAATTGTATTCTTCACACTATAAAATAATATAAAATAAGCATATCTTGTCTTCTAAATGAACTAGTGTAGCCATATGCCATAGCCAGATCAGGACCTATCATAAGGACAACTCAAGAGTATGCTATTCTGTTCTTCTGAAATAGACTACATTTTCTTCATATCATGTTTCTTTAGACCTGTCTAAAATAAATAATGGATTTATTGTGAAGGTGTAGGCTATATTACATGGATTTATTAGACTTTTTTAAAATGTAGATGTTCCAAAAGGTCTGCATCAGTGGCTTGTAGGCGATGTGTGTGGAAGACAGGAGATGCTAAATGTGTTTATGTTTTATGAACGACTGTTATTTGCCTGACAATCACCGGCTGACGAGATTTCCTGACCGCACACTGCCCTAGAGACATCCAACCTTTTTAAAAAGAAGACCAATTTGTTTATTTCCTAACAAGCAATGAAAACATTGTATAAAAGAAAGTCCACACATCAAAATATTGTTTTTCCATAGCCGATAGCCCTCTACATAGCTGTTTTTCCATAGCCGATAGCCCTCTACATAGCTGTTTTTCCATAGCCGATAGCCCTCTACATAGCTGTTTTTCCATAGCCGATAGCCCTCTACATAGCTGTTTTTCCATAGCCGATAGCCCTCTACATAGCTGTTTTTCCATAGCCGATAGCCCTCTACATAGCTGTTTTTCCATAGCCGATAGCCCTCTACATAGCTGTTTTTCCATAGCCGATAACCCTCTACATAGCTGTTTTTCCATAGCCGATAGCCCTCTACATAGCTGTTTTTCCATAGCCGATAGCCCTCTACATAGCTGTTTTTCCATAGCCTATAGCCCTCTACATAGCTGTTTTCCCATAGCCGATAGCCCTCTACATAGCTGTTTTTCCATAGCCGATAGCCCTCTACATAGCTGTTTTTCCGTAGCAGATAGCCCTCTACATAGCTGTTTTTCCGTAGCCGGTAGCCCTCTACATAGCTGTTTTTCCGTAGCCGATAGCCCTCTACATAGCTGTTTTTCCATAGCCGGTAGCCCTCTACATAGCTGTTTTTCCATAGCCGATAGCCCTCTACATAGCTGTTTTTCCATAGCCTATAGCCCTCTACATAGCTGTTTTTCCATAGCCGATAGCCCTCTACATAGCTGTTTTTCCATAGCCGATAGCCCTCTACATAGCTGTTTTTCCATAGCCGATAGCCCTCTACATAGCTGTTTTTCCATAGCCGATAGCCCTCTACATAGCTGTTTTTCCATAGCCGATAGCCCTCTACATAGCTGTTTTTCCATAGCCGATAGCCCTCTACATAGCTGTTTTTCCATAGCCGATAGCCCTCTACATAGCTGTTTTTCCATAGCCGATAGCCCTCTACATAGCTGTTTTTTCCATAGCCGATAGCCCTCTACATAGCTGTTTTTCCATAGCCGATAGCCCTCTACATAGCTGTTTTCCCGTAGCCGATAGCCCTCTACATAGCTGTTTTTCCGTAGCCGATAGCCCTCTACATAGCTGTTTTTCCGTAGCCGATAGCCCTCTACATAGCTGTTTTTCCGTAGCCGATAGCCCTCTACATAGCTGTTTTTCCATAGCCGATAGCCCTCTACATAGCTGTTTTTCCATAGCCTATAGCCCTCTACATAGCTGTTTTTCCATAGCCGATAGCCCTCTACATAGCTGTTTTTCCATAGCCGATAGCCCTCTACATAGCTGTTTTTCCATAGCCGATAGCCCTCTACATAGCTGTTTTTCCATAGCCTATAGCCCTCTACATAGCTGTTTTTCCATAGCCGATAGCCCTCTACATAGCTGTTTTTCCATAGCCTATAGCCCTCTACATAGCTGTTTTTCCATAGCCGATAGCCCTCTACATAGCTGTTTTTCCATAGCCGATAGCCCTCTACATAGCTGTTTTTCCATAGCCGATAGCCCTCTACATAGCTGTTTTTCCATAGCCGATAGCCCTCTACATAGCTGTTTTTCCATAGCCGATAGCCCTCTACATAGCTGTTTTTCCATAGCCGATAGCCCTCTACATAGCTGTTTTTCCATAGCCGATAGCCCTCTACATAGCTGTTTTTCCATAGCCGATAGCCCTCTACATAGCTGTTTTTCCATAGCCGATAGCCCTCTACATAGCTGTTTTTCCATAGCCGATAGCCCTCTACATAGCTGTTTTTCCATAGCCGATAGCCCTCTACATAGCTGTTTTTCCATAGCCGATAGCCCTCTACATAGCTGTTTTTCCATAGCCGATAACCCTCTACATAGCTGTTTTTCCATAGCCGATAGCCCTCTACATAGCTGTTTTTCCATAGCCGATAGCCCTCTACATAGCTGTTTTTCCATAGCCTATAGCCCTCTACATAGCTGTTTTTCCATAGCCGATAGCCCTCTACATAGCTGTTTTTCCATAGCCGATAGCCCTCTACATAGCTGTTTTTCCATAGCCGATAGCCCTCTACATAGCTGTTTTTCCATAGCCGATAGCCCTCTACATAGCTGTTTTTCCATAGCCGATAGCCCTCTACATAGCTGTTTTTCCGTAGCCGATAGCCCTCTACATAGCTGTTTTTCCGTAGCCGATAGCCCTCTACATAGCTGTTTTTTCCGTAGCCGATAGCCCTCTACATAGCTGTTTTTCCGTAGCCGATAGCCCTCTACATAGCTGTTTTTCCGTAGCCGATAGCCCTCTACATAGCTGTTTTTCCGTAGCCGATAGCCCTCTACATAGCTGTTTTTCCGTAGCCTATAGCCCTCTACATAGCTGTTTTCCCGTAGCCGATAGCCCTCTACATAGCTGTTTTTCCGTAGCCGATAGCCCTCTACATAGCTGTTTTTCCGTAGCCGATAGCCCTCTACATAGCTGTTTTTCCATAGCCTATAGCCCTCTACATAGCTGTTTTTCCATAGCCGATAGCCCTCTACATAGCTGTTTTTCCATAGCCGATAGCCCTCTACATAGCTGTTTTTCCATAGCCGATAGCCCTCTACATAGCTGTTTTTCCATAGCCGATAGCCCTCTACATAGCTGTTTTTTCCATAGCCGATAGCCCTCTACATAGCTGTTTTTCCATAGCCGATAGCCCTCTACATAGCTGTTTTTCCATAGCCGATAGCCCTCTACATAGCTGTTTTTCCATAGCCGATAGCCCTCTACATAGCTGTTTTTTCCATAGCCGATAGCCCTCTACATAGCTGTTTTTCCATAGCCGATAGCCCTCTACATAGCTGTTTTTCCATAGCCGATAGCCCTCTACATAGCTGTTTTTCCATAGCCGATAGCCCTCTACATAGCTGTTTTTCCATAGCCGATAGCCCTCTACATAGCTGTTTTTCCATAGCCGATAGCCCTCTACATAGCTGTTTTTTCCATAGCCGATAGCCCTCTACATAGCTGTTTTTTCCATAGCCGATAGCCCTCTACATAGCTGTTTTTCCATAGCCGATAGCCCTCTACATAGCTGTTTTTCCATAGCCGATAGCCCTCTACATAGCTGTTTTTCCATAGCCGATAGCCCTCTACATAGCTGTTTTTCCATAGCCGATAGCCCTCTACATAGCTGTTTTTTCCATAGCCGATAGCCCTCTACATAGCTGTTTTTTCCATAGCCGATAGCCCTCTACATAGCTGTTTTTCCATAGCCGATAGCCCTCTACATAGCTGTTTTTCCATAGCCGATAGCCCTCTACATAGCTGTTTTTCCATAGCCGATAGCCCTCTACATAGCTGCTGGAGCATCAGATGACAGTTGGAAAGAGGAGGAGATGTTGAACGTTTAATAGACAGACTATGTTAGCAAAACAACTGCTGATAATCATTAGTAAACGCCCCCGCTATTAGGTAAAGTTTATCTACATGAAAATAAAATGCATCCCGTGTATTTATTTATTCTAAAATGAATGTAGGTCATATTTTAAACGGTTTTGAAGCTTATTTTATTTTCTCGGCAGTCTTCATCCATAACCGTCCGTTACACGGTTTTATTCAATTACGTCACAGTCCTGGCTCTCACCTTCTCACTGCAGGTAAACACTCTAGACGTTGGGATGAAGGCCTGAAAATGGCAGATGGATAAATACATATTTAACGTTTTTAACATCCATGTTGTTGTTCTCCAATTGTGTAAGTTTATATAAATTTTGGCTAATTCAGTGTAGCCGGTGTGGTCCAGTGGTTACGGCTTCTGACCCCGGCACATATGTATGTCAGATTCAGCATGGGTTCGAATCCGGCCCGCTGCCCTTTGACTCACCCT